GGGGGGGGGGGGGGGTGGCATAGTTGTGCTTTGCTGCACGCGATTTGACCTTTCAAGACGTACTATCCCAGACGGCAGGAAGGATGGCACTATTCTGACAATCGGCTGTGTCTTCACCGTCGCATCCCATAATGGTGAAGATTGAAATGCCACTGCCTCTCTCTGCCGCGTGCACGAGCACCAGCGGTACAAATGTAGTAGCAACAATCGTGGCGGATGCGTGGTGAAACGGCATCAAGTGCGCACGTGTGACAAACGGAGAAGAAACCACATCCACCTAAAAACAACAGTATAGCCCCCCTTGATGGTAGCCTTAACTCCTCCGCCGTCGCTCACTTGCTACGCATCTCACCCGGTACATCCAAGAATAGACCCGTTCTCAGAATCAAAGGCAGTATCATGTTTTCCCATGCCGCCGCCCCTTCCCACCCACACAAGACCTCCCACCCAAGAATCTAACAGTCAGACGTGGTTTACCACTGCTGACTCGAGACGTGACCTATTTGTGGACAGCACGGTTGGAGTCTTGAACGCACACCAAATGCACCCTTTACGAGGTAGACGCTGTGTTTCGCCAGCCGACAAGGATACAAAGCTATGAATTCATTGCGTATCTATCTTAGACTCATTTCTTACATAAGAGATGGATTCGTCGGGTCATATGAAGAAATAATTTTTTTTAAAAGAAACACTACAGAAAACATTCGGCGGCAAATCAGTCAAACTACACGCGAGCACAATCGGGCGAGCAGGTCGTACCGCAAGACCGCCCGGTGTGCGTGACCTTCGTTTTCCCGTTGATCGGCGTATGAACTGTTCAAGATGGAAACGAATGGTACAGTACGCGCCAACCGCTGTCGAGCGCGAATCCCGCAACATGGTTATCGATAGCAACTACGACAATACGTTACATCTAATGCATCGCCTATACACCTACCTCAATGAGCATGGTGCATACTCCGTGCTAATGTACGGTACATGTGAATGCATCGCCTACACACCTACCTCAATGAGCATGGTGTTCTCGTTGAAGGGGTGCTTTGACGTAGCCGCCTCCGGTCCGAGCTTGTCGTAGATCTCCCGCTTCTCCGAGTCCATCAAAACCTTGAAGCGACAGTCCCGTCGACAGTCCCGTCGACAGTCCCGTCCACGGCGGTGGCACACGGCAACATCACCACCAGCAGCCGCGGTTGGCAACACAACGTTTAGAAAATTGTCATCAACCAAGGGGAAATGGGTGTAAAATTCACCGCAACGGCACACGAAAATATCAGAAGCAGTGCCCGCGGTTGGCAGCGCAGCGCTCCGAAAAATGGCACACCGATGAGGGCCAACAAAAGAGTTGACATGTTAACTGAGGTCGCACGACTCTCGTTCAGGGGTCAGATGCTTTCCGGGGGTGGTTGCCTCGATTAACGTTTCGAAAAATGATATACGTGAGGGCAAAACAAGACTTTATGATATGATGAAGGCACACGCCACTTGCTACATGCTTCAGAAGCCTTGCAACGAGGGGGGTATCTCGCAAGGTCTCAAAAAATGACAACGGTAAGGGCAATAAGGAGTTCATGGTATCATAAATGCACACGACTCTGTTCCATGCTTGAGAAGCTTTCCGCAATCGGTGGGTACCTCGTGCATCTCACACCAAGACCTAGCTAGTACTTCCCGGCAGAGGCCAACCAACCGCTCCGTGTTGGCAGGTGTAGATACGTGCATGGTACTTATTCTTGGGGGCCCTCATTGGGGCACGGCTCAAACGACCTTCCCAGGCCACCACATGGGAACATACCCAGAACCGCAGGAGGGGGTCCAACCCCCCCCTTCTATGTGACCCCGGGTGGGTCGTCTAGCTAGTAGAAGTGGAGGATAGGGGCCAGAGGGGCAGACGACAGAGTCCAATGATGGGAGAAAAAGAAGAAAAGAAGAAAATACCATAGATTTCATACCGATGCGTAACGAGATAATGGCGTCCGTTTGCGTGTAGACGAACATCCTTCTGCCTGTAAACAGCGCTACCGGCCATTCCGGGGGAAGGGGCACTGCTGTTCGTTGTTGTTGCCCCGTCCCGGGGAATTGGAGCATGGCCGGTGAACTTAGGTCTTCAGCCTCCCTCTATTCCAACCTCGAAAGAGACACTGCCGCCGAACCCTACAAATATTTTCAGTCTCTTTTTGTCTGGTTGGTAAGCTTGGGGTGTCAGCAGAGGCCGTGGAGACTACTCCTGTTGTACATGGCAACCCCAAGAAGCGCATTGCAACCACCGCTTTGGGTTCTACAATTCACACCCTCCTGCTGTACGTGGTGACCTCAATCCAGCAACCCCGGCGGGCCCTACACTTTATACCCTCCTGCTGTACGTGGCTCAAACACGCGAATTGCAACCCCCCGGCTTCCGGCCCTAGACTTTTTCACACCTCCTGGGCGGCCTGTATCTTGGAGAACATGTCCGCTGCGTCCTGGGAGGGGTTCTTGTCCGGGTGCAGCTCGAGCGACAGCTGTCGGTACGCTCTCTTGATCTCGATGGCACTGCTCCCTCTCCGCACCCCGAGCAGCTGGTAGAAGTTCGGCCCCCGCTCCGCGTTCTCCAACGCCTGAGGAGCAGCAGCAGCAGCAGCAGCAGTAGACGGCATGAAGGCAAGAAGCGAAACACATGAACCAAGCATGTACTAGCAATGCTTGCGGGGGTTAGAGCTGTTGGTTGTAGGCTCCGGAGTGCAGTTGGTGTGCGGAGAACTGCTGCTGCAGCCGGTTGTCCGTGTGCTCTCTAAATTAATGAGAGTTGAGCTCAAGTACACAGCGACAAGCAAGAGAGGCTCTCCCCATTGTTCTTCAACAAGAACAAAGTTGCAAGCATGGCAGATTCTTTCGCGTTCGCTACTGTCCAAGAGTGAGGGTGGGAGAAGAGAACAAGAAACCAATCAACCATCGATCTGCTGTGTAGCAAGCTCGAAGCGATGTAGGTGCAGCAGACACGGGACTGGGACACTCTGAGCCGATTCGAATTTTCTGGCAGCATCCACACACAGAGCTAGCTGATCTTACCATTTTCGCAACTGGTCTATCTATACCTAGAACCTGACCCAAAGCCGCACATACGCAGCTGCACCACCGTTTTATCTGCCTCAACCGAACCATTGAGCACGCACACAGCAGTGTATCTATGCAGCGGGTTGACGATAGAGCTGCACCAACTGCAACTGCCCGCGAGCACATGTTGACGCATGAAGAGGGGGGGGGGGACGAGCCCCCACCAAACACACACCGCCACTCGACTACAGAAAGATCCTGAATCGCAACGAGTTCACACCACGCCTCACACAGCGACATACACCACCCTATGGTCTTTTTGTTTGTCTGCGATCTCTGCCCATCTCTCACCATCTTGCCGATGGCTATCGTCGCCAGGAACGCGATGGCGTACACGATGGCTCTGTCCTTGGGGAACCTCTTGGGGGCGAGGATCCATGCACACACGGGGTGCACGAACATCACATAGAAGAAGAGGGTGCCCAGCGCACCGGCTGACTCCGCGGTGTCCGACATCTTCGCAGGGGGGCTCCTCCCGTCACGTCACGAGCACACCAGACCAGCCGCTGCTTTCCCCACGCGCACGCCCTGCGGCCCTCAGTTGCTGTAGGACTCCCCGCGTCTCTCCCCGCCTGTTTGTATGAATAGGGTAGCTCCGGTTTGGGCCAACGAGGGAGGAGAAACTTCCAACACCAACGGCGGGATGATGGTCAGCTCTAGTGCTAGGGGTTGGCTCCTCCCGAGTAGATTATGGGTTCCCTGTACCTTGCTGCTGCTGTGTTGGTGCCACTTGGCAAAGCTGAGGCGCTCCGCCACCGGGGCTCCGTGAATGAAACGCGAGGTACCCTTGTAGGGGGGTACGCACGCGTATCGCAGCCAGCCTCCACGGGCGAGTAGGCCTGAGCAGCGCTGCACGAGGCACGCGGTGGTGCATAGAGGCTGAGCTTCACAGAAAACGTCTTTCTCTCACCCTGTATTATTCAGGAAACTGGGGCGTGATCCTCTTCTGGGGTACATTGCAACAGAAGTGCCGTGCATGTTTCGTTTTTCACATGTGGTTGGGAGAAACAAGGCAGGGTTCTACGCTCATGCATGCACAGCGCATTACAAGCCGGGTACATCGCCCCGGTGGTCTAGTGGGTAGCCTCGCAGCCTGCTAAGGGCCAGGTCATGGGTTCGAGTCCCGACAGAGTGAGTTTTTTCTCGCTATATAAATCCTGGTCTAGGATGAAAGCGACGCGCTGCAAAGCTCGTTGTTCGCAAACTATGATCGACTTCGTACGTCGCGAGGGAAGGGATTGCCGTACCCTTCTCGCAAAAAAAATTTCTCAGGCAGGAACCGCAGGAGGGGGTCCAACCCCCCCCTCCTATGTGACCCCGGTTGGGTCGTCTAGCTAGTAGAAGTGGAGGATAGGGGCCAGAGGGGCAGACGACAGAGTCCAATGATGGGAGAAACAATAAAAAACACCTATTATAGTCGATGCCTCAGGGCTCAGGGAGGCTCTGTGGAGTGAAGAAAGTTACCCATGAGAAAAGCTACTTGCAGGATGTCCAGCAGCGAGAGATCCCTTCTCGAGGGCAAGGGGTGTGGGCGCAGGGGGGGGAGCGGGGCAGGCTGCAGGCACTGCGCGAAGAATTCGTGCAGTTCGGGCGCCCCGAGCGGAACTGGAAGCAGCTTGCATGCATAGAGAACCCGAAATGTTATAACAGCCTTTGCCGCAGTCCTGGTTCGAAGGATGTTCGATAAGCCGAACTTCGTAGGATCCCGCTGAAGTACATGGAACTGACTGAGAACACGAAGTAGCCACATCATTGGCAGCTAATGCTGTAGCTTGGTCCTTCAATGCGATGCTCGGTGGCAGGAGGAACACAGCTGCTGAACAATACATAGACCGGTTCTCTTAGTCGTCTCGAAATGACACGTCTACAAACTGTAAGTACGGGATATGCCCGAGGAGCCGACTCTCCTCAATAATTTCGTCTGAACCAACGAGGCTGTGGTTGACATGACACACAAAAAAAAATACATAGACGAAAAAAGTCGCACGCGTGAAGCAAACCTACGGCTAGATCCTATCCCACACACCCAGCTCTGCAAGTTTCGACCAAGACGGAGGAAACAGCCTCGACCCCAGTCCATCCGCGCCCAGCGACTGCCTCCCATATCCTCGAGATGCAGCAGTACCTCAAAACGCATCGTCAAGATCACCAGGGTTGGGGGAAATGACAAATAGCTGTCCCAGATGAAACGTGAACGGGTGGTCAACGGTATGAATGGCCTGACAAATCGGCCATCGACCACAAGAATCGTTTCCACCTCGCCCACGCAGCACCTTCGCTCGACCCAAACCGAATCGTCACAAGGGAGGCAAAAACATACTCACCCTCCTCATAATCCCCACCCTGTTTTGTCTACGGCAAGCAAGACTCTTTTATGCTCAACCGAGTACACCTACGCAGCACTCTTCCAACAATACCGTCGCCTTCGTAAGGTGGGGCGCATACTACCTCTACGCCCCTTCTGCTTTCCTGGCCAGCCAAAGGAAAAATAAACTCCAAATCACACATCAAATCCCAAAACTTGTACAAGGGAGCCCCCGACCCAGCACGACACCACTCGTCTCGCCCCCGCCGAAAAAGGCTCGCGGCTATCTCAACCTAGCAGTCACAAACAAGCGGGCGATCCTACGCACGGTGCCTATACCGCGGATCGTCTACATCACCGACAGAACTGCACGCGCTATGGCGTGCAACAGGGACAAATCACGGTGGTGGTATCACATGCTCAGTACCGCAAAGCACAGCACGCCAAACGTGAGTTAGCCTGTTGTTGTCGTGTACCGCAAAACGCGGCACACCTTGCAGCACCGACGCTGCTGCACGGCACTGCAACAACGGGAGCAGCAGCAGCTAGAAGCAGCTAGCACCAGCTAGCAACAGCAAGCAGCAAGCAGCAGCAAGCAGCAGCGGGAACAGCAGCCGTCCCAACTGCTCCCCGGCGCCTAAGTTGCTTGTTGCTTACCACTCTTCTACTTGGTCGCCACGATCGAGAACTTATCGGATACGTACGGGGTGTCTTCATCGTCCTTGTCCCCGTCGTCCTCTCCGCCCCCGGCCGTGATGGGCCCGGAGCTGAGCTGGGAGACATGGGAGTAGAGCGAGCTGAGCGCGTCCTTCACCTGTGGTGTTGGTTGTTGTCGTTCACACGAGGGAGTACAGCAAGCGTAACCGGGCGAAGCGTGGGGGCATGCACGCGGTGAAAACTAGTGCTTACGACCCGCGTCATCATAGTGGGAGCGAGGAAAGGGCCAACGGTAGACTACTGTGTGCCTACACGGCTGGAGGGGGGGTAACCATCGTGCTGAGACTGTTTGGTCAACCACAAACACTGCCAGGTGGAACGATGAACCTGGGAGCACACCAACAAAACTCGCTTGAAAAGAGACGATCAAAACACACACCACACCGACTCACCTTGGCTTCCTGTCCCTTCTTTGTAGCGAGTACGAAGGCCGAGAAGTCTACCGGGAGCCCGTAGCGCATGACGCTCTCTACGTACGACTTGACGAGCTTGACGTGCATCCATGCCGAGAACGCCTCCCCGAAGTGGGCGCGGCACCACCGGATCATGCCTGCGTGCAACTGCTGTACCTCCGTCTTAAGCTAACGTGGACGGAGGAAGCGGGGGGGAAAGGCGCAGACACCGAAATAGCGGTTGATTTGTCAAAAACCAGATGGTGATGTCTTCAGCTAGGGCTACGAGTATTGGCGAACGGGGCAGTGGCGACGGGGGAAGGAGAGGGGAAGCGGCGGAACCAGCAAAAACGTCGCGAGTGATTCGTGCAATATCAGAGGGCGATTGTCATGCGCAGGCTGAGCTAGAATTGGTCGGCAAAAGAGAAACGCACGAGCTGCAGGTGGCAGCACAGCAACCAGTCGGGTTCTCTTCTTTGTCCTAATCTTCTCCCGATGCACTAGTACACACGCTCCAGTCATCATCAGCGGCATACCAAACCGCTGAGCATTCCCATGAACAACCACAAAGCTATCCGAGTGAAACTGCCCGTGTACGTAACTTTTGAGCTCCCACTAGAAGTGGTAAAATACAAAGAAGCACAAGGATAGCAACCTCCCCGCATGAAGCTACGTCAGCAGCAGTGGGAGGACCGCGGTATAGCAGGCATATCAAAACCGACCTGCTCCTCCATGCGCTGGTTTTCCCCAGACCTCTCCGGGTTAAAGACGAAATCGCGAGCCGTGAATCGCTTCTCCTTACACTTCCGCTTGAACTCCGCCACGTAGTCCGTCGACATGCCCGCCTGGAACTGCTCCCCGTCGTGGAACCCCGCCTAAAGGAGTCGGAGGCGTTATTGTAAGGCGTTGTTGCGTGCATGGTGGTTGGCTACAACACAACACGCGAACGAGGTGCATCTCATCCCTCCCTCAAAATAAAACCCATGTCACTGCTCTATGGACAAAAATCAAAGGCTCGCGTTGGACACACAAATATTGTGCATGGCAGGTAAACATGGTCTGGAATTCATCAACGTGGTGCATCTCATGAGCTTTCGCCTTATCCCTACAATACTGCTGATCCATCAAAAACGGCAACACCGCCACAACCTGGTGCTGCGTTCTGAGCGAATGCCAAGTGTCGATTCCAGCAGTTTTGCCAAGGGTCCGAACGAGTCAACAACCGTGAACAAAACATCTCGCAGACACCCCCCAAACGAGCATCCACACCTGGTATTGCCCTCTGAGCACGGTAACGGTGTAGAGGACCTGCTCCCCCTCCTCCAACACCTTCTGGGTGGAGCCGGGCACAACCGGAGACCCTTTCACGACGCCCCTGCTGGAGAACCCGGGGCCGAACTGCCCGTCTTGGGTGCCGAGGCTGTTAGCTACGCTAGGGTTGGACCAGTCCGGGCTGCCCAGAGAGGCAATTTCCTGCAACAGCAAAGAACAAGCATGCGTGCGGTGCTCGCAATGAGGCTTGGTCTGGATAAGGCGGCAGGTAGGCGCCCTTCGCGAAGAAAATCAATCTGAAACTGATGGAGGAGGATATGCCTCGAGCTCTCCGTACGCCTGCGGCTCTATTTAGTTCATGCTCCCTGATCCTCCTTTGTCTCCTGGGCTTGAAGGTAGAGGCCATGACAGACCATATGTAGTCAATCGCCACCCGGTCGGTACTGAGTGATCGCACACACACTGGACTGACTGTCAAAGCTCTCGATTGAGTGTCCAAAATCCAAGAGGGTGCGAACGCCGACCAACGCGTGGTGAAAAAAAAAAAAGGAGAGGATGAAATATAAGACACAACTTGTCCTTTCCGTATCCAGCGGTGAGTACAACGATGCTCTTCTGCATCCTCTGGTCTTCGCCCTTCGCCAACCTACAAGGGCGGCAATCAACTATCTCTCGTCTGCGCATATTATCCCCCTTCTGGTCTGCAATGTTGTGCCACCCGTTCGTCCGTCTACCCGCACGCACTCACGCTTCCGATGGACTCGTACCCCTCGAGCCAGTCCTTCTCCTGGGTCTTGCCCATGGCCACGGCGAGCGTCACCAGGTTCTCCGTGTCCACCATCATCACCCCCCGCAGCTGCTCGCTCGACAGCACCTCCGATAGCTCCACCGTGGCAAGGTTGTTGCCCTTCTTGCGCTTGAGCGCCTGCGTAAAGAATGTGCGGTGTTTGAGACGTCCGATTCGGCCGCGTTCGGAGATATCGCAGGGTGGGTCGGGTCACACCGCATGTCCAAACGGCGGGGGGGGCAACGTGTACGTCGTACGGCAAGCTGTTGGGAGGAGAGACCAGGACGGTAAGAGCATTTTGTTTGATAGGCCATCAACAAAGGTTGGGGTCTTCTTCCTGCTTGTTGTTGACGCCGTCGTGCAACATCGTTGCACCTTTGTTTCTCAGCGTCGGCCATCGCTTGAATAGTGAATCATAACCCCCTCCCCTCATTCAGCTATACTAGACCACTTACTCATCCGGTATCACCGAATCCCCCCGCGCGCACATACATATAGCCTGGTGCTTCTTTCGCAACGACGACTTCATATACTTCTGCCGACAAAAAACTCACAATCTATTTGACCACATGCCCTTAACCCTAACTCCAACCTCTATAGCCTGGGTCAGCTCTAGAAATACCACCACCGCCTCCCTTTCTGCCGTAACGGTTCCCGCTGGCTAACCTGCATGGCCTGGTTCTTTTCGGCGAAGACCATGGACAGGTTCCGGTGCTCCTCCTCGATCTTGCCCACGGACCCTTGGATGAGCGCCACGAGGGCGGGCAGCCTCTGACGCACGGCGAACTTGGAGTAGTCCCACTCGAACATCCGCACGTACTGCCCCGGCGACACTCCGGCCACCTTACGTTCACCAGGCAGAAGAACCCACGATTACAATAAACATCGGGACAAGGGGCGAGAGAAGACGTCACAAGAGGATGAGGAGCTACTTCCGTCCCGCAAAGTGACCCACAAGAAAAAGGCAAGGGACAAGCCTCATGGATAGGGAAAGATACGCGCTCATACGTGCGCATGAAATAACGCACATACGAAGAACAAATCAAAGCGTCGGGAAGACTCACGAAAAATCGAGGGAGAGAGCAACTGGGAGAGAAGCGAGGCTGCCCTGAGTATCAACGAGTTTCAAAACACGAACATACAAGTCAAACCGAAAAAGTAGGGTGGACGGACATGGGGCAATGGCGACACGCTTTCGCGTCCGGGAGATCGCAGTCGGCCACAGCGATATGGGCCGGGTGGGGAACAATGCACACCCCGCGCCTTCTCTGTGAAGCTGTCGGTGTGGCGACCCTCTGTCTCACTGATCACGCGACGCCTGCATTGGACCCTGTCTCCGCTTCTGTCTGCCTCCCGCCCCCTCCACGTCGACATAAGTTTGGGCTGATTCCTCCTTCGTTTCTATCTCTCTTCCTCACCCTCCCTCCTGCTCGATTCGATACGCCCCCTTCTCCCCCCGCCCCACCGAGCTGACAAGCTCTCACCTTGAGTGTCTCCGACGCCTCACCGGCCACCTCTATGTACTGCTTCTCTATCTTGCGGACCATGTTCTCCACGAGCATGTCGATGCGCACCAGGTCGTCCGACAGGTGCATCAAAGAATCCAGGGTGCCGACCTGTATTGCCAACGCAGCGCCGCACCATCATCACCCGTCAACCAAAACGAAAACCCGGAAAGCGGGGGAACGTGGTCGGTTGGTAAAGCTATACCGTAAACGAACCCCCAGAAACAGCCCAACCGTCACCAACTCTGCGGTGGAGTTATCAAGCACCGGGGCACATAATAAAGCCATCATCGGGGAATTCTAAGCGGGAGCATTGTTTGACCAACGGGTTGTTAGGAAGCGCTTGAAAAAAATTGGTCAACAACAGCTGGCTGCACACAGTACAAATAATAGGTCTTCTTTACCCGAATAGCGTGTGTGTTTGGAACAAGAGCCAGCTCCGCAAGTGAGGGAGAAGAACCAAATTTTATTGCGGCTGCAACACCTAACCCCAACCCAAACCCTAAGGGCCGCGACATCCGTCCGTGCGCAATGGATGAACAAATTCGCTACATATGAGATCGACATGAGGAGTAACACACCACGTCTTGTGAAAAGCATTGAGCAATCGACCAAGCAAGGCAAGGAAACGCAAAGGCAATGAGCAAACGGCAGCACACGTTTTGTTCCGAACGGCGGGCTGCTTGTTCTACCCTTCGGGATCCTTCTTCCAATCTAGAACAACAAGCAGCCACAGGCGAAACAATTCCCCGCATTGGGTGTCGAGATCGGTAGAAACAGGTGGGATGGTGGCACGTTCTAAGAAAAGAGCAACGCGCGAAAAATGTACACGTGCGAGGGTGTACAAGAAACAAACGAGAAAAAGAGGAACCCTGAAAGAGTTAAGGACACCCACCTGAAGCGCAGGCACCTCGACCTTGAAGATGTCGGCATAAGCCTTGACGGCGGAACCCGTGAGCTTCCCGAACACCTGACACACAAACGTTGTCGTCAAAACGGTTTGAAATTAGGCACACTTAATCCGCTGCAGGAACATGTTGCCCGTTGTTGGAGTGGGATGTACAGTATCGCGAAAGGGTTGACACATGGCGAAAGTACAAGGCCGCGTCGGGGAGGCCAAAAACGGATGCCGCGATGACAGGGCATGAATCGAAATGTTCCAGGTACATTTGTAGATCAGTAAACGAATAATGCAGCTGACAGCGCACTTGCTTTTCTTGTACCGGGGACACACGGCACGCATGTCAGGGGAACGACGTGAGAGGCCACCGCCGTCGCCAAACCCCAGCATCGCTTTGATGAAGTCTATTCAACACCTTTACGCTTCCGTCGTCTTCAATGAAAAAGAAAACCAAATGCGTGGCCAGGAGCCAAGAACCTATTGTTGCCTCCGCCAAACGACTTGTTCAGACTAGGTGCATATTCAAGCGTGGCTGCATTCACAGCAAGGAGTGTTTTGTCGCCGCCACGTGAAAGAGAAAGATGTCACGAATCTCCATGTACCACAGTAGAGTCCGTCCCAACGGCAGGGTTCCGGGACATGTGACTCTGTATAACCCTGCATCCCGTCCGCATGGGACGTGAGCATCATCACCATTGGACATATGTTGACCGCTCGGTTCCCCGCAAGGAGGGGAAGTGGGACAACGGGCAGGGTATATATCACCGGACGGCGGTTCAGGGCTTGGGCATTACACCCGCACCCACAATCAACCGCACCTACGACACAAATATATGCTCAATGTTCACTGGTCATCCGGGAAGAATCATAATCTTCCAAGCAGGTGTAAATCGGGTGTACTCATAGCCGTGCATGCCGTAGTCGTTAGGCCATTGACCTCGCACCCTTACCAAGCCGGGATGGAGCAGCACGGGTTTTCACCGGACCAGTGGGAGTCGGGGGGTTACATAAGTCGCGCGGGAAGGGATTGCTGTACCCTTCTCGCGATAAAAACACCTCACGCAGGAACCGCAGAAGGGGGTCCAGCCCGCCCCTCCTATGTGACCCCGGTTGGGTCGTCTAGCTAGTAGAAGTGGAGGATAGGGGCCAGAGGGGCAGACGACAGAGTCCAATGATGGGAGAAAAGAAAAAAAATGTGACAGCTGTTGCTGAGTCGAGAATTGGTCGCGGGCGCGGCGGCAAGGACAACACGACCGAAGCTTGGCCATCCCATGAGGACCGCACTTTCCCAGAGGCAACATCACCACTAAACGAAGCAAATGAAAGCGCTTGTCCAGGTAGAGACTTCGGGTTGCCCGCGGTAAACACGTCGGCGTGGGCTGTTCGTACTCTCGCCTGCCAGACGTCTGTTTGCATATAAGCCGACGAGAGAGGTGCATAGGCACAACACTCGAGTGGAAATATCACTGCACCGTGTACTGGCGGCACCAGAACTATCTTTGTGCTGGTTAACCATCTAGAAGTATGTGTTGGAGAACCGGACACAACTCGATATCGAAGGAGCACGACCGCCGCATCCCCCATTGATTCAGCGCAATTGCACAGTCTTTAGAGCAACTACCGCAGTACAAATAATCGTGCACGTTGCGCTCGAAGTGGAGGATGAAAAAACGCGTGTTCGAGTGTTCGAGAGGGTCTGATTACAGTAGGGTGTGGAGTGTCGTTTCTTGTTGGAGCGGGCGGGCAAAGAATATTCGGGGCAGCACTGCTGCCTGTTGAAGGCAACGAGGACGCGATCAAACGGATTGTATCGAGTCGTCGCGTCTGGCAGTTCAGAACCAAAACGCCCCCCTCCACCGACAGACCACTTCTCCGAGCAAAACGTAGCCAATTGCTGTTTCGCAACAGCAGCCCCTGGTGTACGCGGGAGGCACAGTAGGCACGCGCCTTAAGGGTGTGGTTGAATAGGCATGCACCAGCGAAGGTGGCGTGGAACTCAACGAGTGACGACGCTTACAAGACCGTGCTACTGGTGTGAAAAGGCTGTGTTTCTTCTTCTTCCGTGCTGCACGGACTGACCGCAGCTGCAGCTGCAAAATCGCGTGGCATTACGGGAAACCTCAGAAAAGCGGCCCATGGACAGAATTCCGACGAAGGCCGGGGAATAACTTTCCATCAGGTTCTGTCTCCCATATCCTGATGTTTTCCCATTAGATCAGCGCCAGCTCTCCAAGCACGCTCCAGATGTATATTGCACAGAACCTCCCCCCCGGTTAGGGAACAAGCACTTCCTAGTAACGTGACTGCTTACTGCTCAATTGTTGTGCACGGCGAGAGATACATACCCGAATTCCTACCCAAACCATCACACCTGAGCAGCACGACAAAAAAAAACACGTGAGAGACCACCTCCTGCGAGATACACTGGGGCTCCTGCCCACTTTGCCAAAGGAGAGCAATCAGAAGCGAGAGCGACAAACACACATCCGATTCGCTTCACTCTTTTCACAGAGCTCTCAATTCCTCACCTGGTCAGGAGGCTGCTGCTCGTTGGGCAGGGAAACCAACGTGTACGTGGTGCCACTCATGGCTCCCTCCTCTCCCTATCGCTTTGTCCTCTACCCCTCTCCCTCTCTTCCTCTCTTCTCTGCCTCTTTGCCTCGCTACTGCTGTGCAGAGCTTGGAACGTCTGCCTCGCGGAGCAACGAATGGGGGCCGCGGGCTAGAATCAAGGGTACCTGGCGGAATATAATTACGCCGCTTTTTGACCCCCTTGCATGATTGTGCCGTGCGTTCTTGGTCAACTGCCCCGCGGTTCCACAAGAGGCCTTGGACATTGCAGCTCAATGACATCGCCTGGTTCAACCATAAGTAAGGAAGATACGGGTGAGTACCTCAGTGGTGAGCCTAGTTTTCTTGTATCCCTCTTTCGTCCCCGAAGTTGCTGAGCCCGCCGGCACTTGCTGCAGGCTGCAGGATGTCAGGACGTTTCCGTGGGTGCGTAAAGATGCCCCGGAGCTAATACCAGGTACTACCATACCAGTATTTAGTTGGCAGACTCTCCAAGCGGCTCATCTTGGGTGGGAGGCTGTGTTGGGTTGATCGCCCACCTGCTTTACGAGTAGTGTCTCGAAGTGCAGTAGTTCGTCGGCATTGCGCAATTATCGGGAGCTTGGTCCAAAGTGATCGGTGAGGTCATCGTCCTACTGGACAGGAGAACGGTACAAATACCGCTCATTCGATGTCTACCTACAGAGTGAGGGGCGGAGAGATGCCCCCCCCCCTAGACCGACTTTCAAAACTCGATTGCTCCACAACCAAGTGGTTGCGGGAAAGAGCCCGATACGCCTCCGAAAATATCTCGACGAGGTGTTTCGAAAACCAACACGTTTGTTGCTGGCACAAGCTTTGTTGTGGAGCAACCGAGCGTTATTTGATAATCGGTCTACAGCGGTAGGGGGAGTGCCCTCTCTCCCGCCTCTTACGGTACAATGGTCGGAACGCTCTACAGAGTGCTACGGTAGAGTCATTTTGATGTGAGGTATTTAAGGGGGTGCTTCCAATCTTGCGAGCGTCGGTGCTATGTATGGCGTGGTTTGAGATTCATTTGTGGCCAACCACCTTTTGCGCCGGCGGGTAAGCTCACAGTCCTTCGTTAGCTAACCCACCGTTGTTCGACCTCGGTGATCTGTTCGCGGCTGTCCGTCTTGGTGCACGCGTCATTTGCGGCAGATGTTGGAGACATAGATATATTTGACGCCGCGACGTCGAAAAAGATACACGAAGAGCACCAGAGAGACATGGAAGATGCGGCGAAAGCTATCGGTGAGAGCAAGGAGTAGGATATCCATCTTGCGATACACCTCTTCCGCACCAGTGTTTGGTGCACACTAATGTTGTGTCCAGTATGTAGCAGCAGACAACAGCAGCAGCGCTGACATGTCCGGGGTATGAGCTTTCGACGTACTTCGTTTGTGCTCTCATTCCTCACCCTCCGATGGTGCATTGGGCGCACTGCTGTGCTCGGCATCACAAGTCGCCCTCGAACTCCACGCCGGTGCACCAGCCCGAGACCCTGATCACGAAGCACAAGTTGACAAAACCTCAGGGGGTGCTGGGTACCGTCGTCTGAACCGCACCAATCAGGGATCTCGCGCATCCGCTCGTTGTTTTGGCCTCCGGCTTTGGGTTACTCAAAGGTCTTATCTCGAATGTTCCACCCGTTCAATTTCGTTGCCGTGCGCAATGGAAGGCCCGCGAGGGATGGCTCTCATCAGGGGGCTTGAGAGACAAACGATGACGGCGACAACAAGAATAACCCAGTCGTTGACGGCGGGATCATTGCACGGAGGGCGATTGTTGAGGAAGCTAACCCCGGCGACTTCCTTCTTCTCCAGAAAAAAAACGCCAGCACCGACACCAGCAGCAGAACCCGTAGCGGGACCAAAGCCGGCAGCAGCACCGGCACCAACAGCACCAACACTAGAACAACTCCTACTAGCAGAACTTCACATGGCAACGAACGCTCAATCCTCCAGCAACGCAACCCTCGAACCGCCACCTACAGTTGCCGAGAGCGGGAGCCCTGAAACAGCAGCGCCGACCGAGACCCCATCTGAGGAGCCTTCTGCCGCCGACGATGTCGATGTAGGAAGGAAACCTCCCCCGGTACCTGCATCAGAGACGGCGGCGGCAGGAGAACCAGAGCCGGCGAGACGGTTAGATGCAGAGGGCAAGGGGTCAGTCGAAACGGCGAGATTTACCTCGCGCGAGTCTGCGGAGCCCGCTCCGTCGCCACCGGCCGCCGCGCCGACGGAAGACGCAGGTTCTGAAGCGGTGCTCCCGGAGTTGAAGATCGTATCCTTCGACGTTCGAGAACCGACTCTCGGTGCTTCCGTGGTCGGGCACGTCGTAGTCTTGGCGGGCTCCTGCTACGTGTGGGCGACGACGGAAGGCTCGGTGGCTCAGGGCTCGTTGGCTGCGGCCGTGGGGACCCGTTTCGACGGAGGCATGCCGACGGCTACGCCGCTGCTGGCGGGGGAAGGGGCCGGGGAGGCCGGCGAAGGAGGGGTAGGCGTGAGCATGGCGCAGCGGCTGTGCAAGCGCACCGGGAGGGTGGTGTTCGTGAGCTGCGACTTGTCGGAGGACTCGCAGATCCTGGTAGCTGCTGTCGAGGCTAAGGTGGTCGCTCTCTTGAAAGCCGAGGATTGATTGGTGCCCTGTGTGCGGGGACGTATAATGCTGGTGCCGGGTGCCGCCCGCTTCTTGTGCTAGAGATATAGACGGTAAAAAAACGACATGGGTTGGCCATGCCTTTTGTCTGTCGGGGCCGTGGTGTTCACTGCTTGCTGTTTTCCTTGGCACCCTCTTGTGAATATTGTCAATTGTCAGAAGCAGAGGCGCCATCGACGCCACGTTTTTGTCCGTGGTCTGCGGGTTTGTTGTCCTAGGGTAACGACGACAATGCCCAGGAAGAGCGTCGTGCTGTCGTCTGATTCGGCAGACGCGAAACTCAACGCACGCCTTTGTAGACAGCTGCTTACACAGGTTTGTATTTGTTGTCTTTTTGGTTCGGTGTGGTTCGCTTGGGCCTTAGACGTCAGCTGTGCGGACTGTCCGAGCGTGGGATGATTCACTAGTGGCACAGTTGGAGAATGCCCGGAGGTTTTCCCTAGCCACCAAAGAATGTCTTGAGCTTTGTACCAGAAGTGTGCGCTAGCAACAGGCAGCGCGGTGTTGCGAAAACGGCGGGCACAAACATCGCGGGGAACATGGGCGTACGCAGGCGACGAGTCGCACCGATGCCGACTGCCCTAAAAGGGGGTCCTTTAAACCCCACGCCTGGATGACGATGGACGCAGAAACACGCGAGGGTTATGTCGACAACAATCACATCATGTTCCAAAACATGAAGGAGCAGCGCCGGTCAACTGGTACCTACCTCGACGTACGGCGTGTGAGCCTCCTCGCGGCGCTGCTCCTCTTTCATGTTTTGGAACATGGTGTGCTTGTTGTCGACTGAACGCTCGCGTGTTTCGGCGTCCTTCTTTATCCAGGCCTGAGGTTTAAATACCCCCCTTGAGAGCAGTCGGCATCGGCGCACCGCTCCGCTGGTGCGTTCTGACGTGCTTGCCGCGGAGCTTACAGCCGCAATCGGTTGCAAGTGTGGGGCTTCGAGCGATGATTTTGACATGTACACTGCGCACGGTTCATCGACAGCCTGCGGCATCAGCGCCGATGGCAGTCGACACGGTGATAACAGTCAAAGCCCTGGCGGAGCATCGGACCATCAAAACGCAAAGCAAACCACAGGCAGGCGGGATGTTAACGGCGCACACAGGGGGGTGGCACCACAACTAAGAACACATCTAGGTCGCGTTGAAAACAGTGAGGGGGGCGACAGCAGCAGCCAATCCAAGAGAGCTTTTCGAGCGTGGGAAACGTCATAGCCGGGCTGTTCGACCTGCAAAACTTCGCAGCCGCCGCTATTTAGGTGGCAACCAATCAATCTTTGCAGGTAACTGGTGCAGAGATGTTGAGTCAACAGATACCAACGATCAGCTGTCTCCCTCAACAACAAAGCACTCGAACATGGGGAGCATGTTTCGTCGCCTCCGCCGTTTTGTTTTCCATGGGCCCTATCCGGGTGCCCTTGTATGTATGAGCGCCATGTCGATGTTTTTCGTGCTTGGGGACATACGTCTGTCGCTCGCGGCAGGGAACCGTTTCTCACGCTTCCTTCTGAGAGGCACGCAGGGGGCTCATCGGCACATTACCGCGCATGCCCGAGGACCGCCAGGCATCCGTGGCGCGTGTAATCGACGCCTGAAGTTGCCGCGACCGGCTCGATTTCGCGGGGAGCCATTCCGAATCAAACAAGCCTTCGCAGGATATACAGAAATAAACAACACATTTGACCCCTGCGCAACACAAACCGTACGAGCAACGCGGCATACACACAGCGTGGGAGAGAGAGAACGAGAGCAGCAGATTGCAACAGCAGTTTCATCACCAGTTACCAGCAGCCAACACCTAATAATACGCAATCACCGGCCGTCGACCGTGCGACATGGTGATTTCCCGGTTACCGGGGGAAATTCGCGCGGAGATCAGTCCCAGTTTCCCGATTATTCGTAGGGGCCCGAACGGATCAGAGATATAATCTGCCCAGAAATCTCCTCCTGGGTATGTAGCGATGACCGTCCAAATACTCGCCGAAGGGAATGTGCAACAAGTCTGCATTACGGCAGCAGTAGGCTCAGCGGCAAAGACGGCGTTAGCCTCCATCATGCATACATTTCCCCACGCGCACGAGAAGGGTCACGATGAAAAAAAAAATGTTTCCCGCAACATGATTGCGAGATATCATCCTCAGACTGTACGGCAACCGGCACTTTTAACACCGAACAAAGGTTAAGCTACAACGATACCCGTGATTGCCATTGGCCATGTCCCCTTGCGTCACCTCCGGGAGGCAAGCCACCCAACCCCGAACGGGATCCTTGTACACACTAAAGATACAATCCGAGTTGCGCATGAGTTCGGGCGAAACCGTTCGAAAAACGAGGGTTCCCACAAGCTCCGACTCAGCGTTTGTGAGGTGTTGGTTTATGGAGAATCCCTAAAACCCACACATGTTTCATGCAAGAGCACCAGCTCCCAACTATTGGGCTTGTTCTGTATGGGTACTGCCGACACGCAACAAAAACTCACATCGTGTCACAGAATAAAACATGCTACACAATGAAACAAAGAAGATGCCTCACCACGTCCCCGGCGAAACTAACAGGATGAAACACACGCCGGAACACCAAATACACAAAACGCGGCAGTCCAATGTACGAAACAGTGATAAACTTGTTGATCTCAAGCTACACAAAAACAACCCCCCCGCTCATACCCCTTGTTCAGAAATTCTTAAAACTGAAAACCGCTTGATGCCTACCAAACAGAGTAAAACCTGCCGTGTTACACCATTGCCCTGTTAAAAAACTCTGCTGCTAGCCCTCCCTCGACCCGCGAAGCAATTCCCACCGCTACAAGTTGGTGAGCCCACTTTCTCGTTCTCTGTTTCGGCAGCGGGCGCTCTCCGCCCACGCAACCTTTTCCCACGTACCATAGGCGACATGACACAAGAAACCACACACCCCTGATGCCGACATTCAAAGCTCGATCACTCCACCAAGGGGATGCTAAAATACAACGCCGCGTTTTCGGAGTAGAACTTTCAACGAGACGGCTTCAGCCGCCGTTACCACTCTTTTCTCTGATGTGGAGACACCGAGCCTCTAAAATTGGTCCAGGGGGCGAGGGGTGTACATCTCATGTCACCTACGGCAGGTGCAATCTATCTGGCTACCCCGCCTTTTCCTTGTTTTCCGCAGCGGTACTATCGGAGCGCGCGCCATTCGCCGGAGGCGTTATGCCGCCGCCAAGGTCCTTCTTCCTCTCGCCGCGATCTTCGTCAGCGGGATATGGCTTTAGACTGCCCATCAACCAGTCCCACAACATGGTGTACTGCCCGTAGTTGCATTCCGGGTACCAGTGGTGGATGTCGTGATATCGCACCTACATATTGAAAGGCCACACGCGGCACGGGAAGGTGCAAATCATGTCGATCGTTGACGAGGGTGTGTGTGTGTGCCAAGGTCAAAAGTGGCGTCGCAAAACGCGCTTTAACTGGTGCGTGTGGGCAATTATGTATACTCCGTAGACTGCTTGCTTCCACTCGGCGGGAAACCCGGTTGTAGGCTGGAGACGATTGAACGTGCCGCCCCTGTCTGTCGCTACTCTATGCCTACCCATCTGCTGGTGCTCTTCGGCGTGGGATGTGCTCGTCGCCAGGTGTATCATATATATGCAGCACGCGTGCCTCTTCCCGATGTGCGTGTTTGCGTCCGCACACGGCCGGAAGACTTTCACAGAAGTGTAGCTCTTTCGGCGTAAGGCATATCCCTAGTGATCGAACCGGACATCCGTGAGTCTGTGTGTGTTTGCCCCAGTTGATCGGAAGGACATCGATGATCGGTCATGTTTCCCCGAGGTGATCTGAAAGACGTAAATTTATCGATCGGTAGTGTTTATGTTTCCCCCGAGGTGATCTGAAGGATACACGTGATCGATCGGCTATGTTTGGCCGAGGTCATCTGAATGATGTAGACGATCTGTTATGCTTGCTCCATGGTGATCTGGAAGGTATGAAGTGATGGTTATGTTTTAGCTGCATGGCGATCTACAGGATATGAGGTGAACGGGGGGCCGCACACACAAGCACCTCCTCGTCACGCCCGTGGCACGCACGCCTGTCCCCGGATTCTCGCCGCTATGTGGGCGTTGGGTGCGCTGGGCTCGTCGCTCTGCTGGGACACTTCCATAATTTCAACGGCGTCCACCGCCGCGGCAGCCCGAAACCGCACACAACAGCAGCAGGTTGACCCTACGATGATACCGCTCGGAAGGTGGAAGGGCGGGAGGTAGGATTGCTACAATGCCTGTAAACAAACAGCGTTCCTTTCAAATCAAGGCCATCAAATCAAGGTGTGCTGGAAGAGCAAGATGATGTACAAGCCAGCCTCGACGGACGGGCCGAATTGCAAAACACACACACAGATTGCAACACACACACTGCTGTACGGTATATACCCCATGCCGCCGGTATGTGATGCGAGCTTACCTCGTACAAGAACGGGATGCGGATATCAAACCGCGTGTGATTCAGCGACGCGAAGAATCCACCGGCGACGATGAAAGTGCCCGCGGATACGACGTGCACCGGCACGACGTACCTTGAGACAAGGTGCAGCGCCAAGAGGTGGTTGTACTCCCCGCCGAGGAACTCCAGCGGGTGCACGTTGACGGCGTCGGCGTTGCCCCGCGTGGGCGCCTTCTGCCGGTGGTGGTGCTTGTGGATGTGCTTGTACAGGCCTCGAAGGTGCAGCACCCTGTGGAACACCGTGTAGAAGAGGTCGTACACGACGTACTGCGCGACGAGCGCCCCCAGCCCGCTGGCGATCCCCAGCTCCGAGACGCCCCAGGCGACCCGCCCGCCCCAGGGAGCGTACCAGAGGTACTGGACGGCGTGGTAGGTGAACACGGCGGTGCTGCACCGGTTGAACGCGACGAACAGCCTGTCCAGCGGGGTAAACTCGTCGAGGTGCTTGCCGCGAGGCCTGATGGTGGCCGCCTTAGACGCCCGGCCGAAGACGTGCACCATCGCCGCAACGAACTCTAGACCCAGCAGTATGACAGACAGCCACGCCGGGTAGTGCCACCACCGCCAGGTGTCGGCGGCGTTGACGAGGGAGAACGCCGCCCCGCCGCCCGCCCCTTTCACCAGAACATCTGCCAGCAACCCGTCCAGCAGCGGCGGTGTCGTGAACCATGACATGCTATTTTGGCAGTCGCACGACCTGAAGGCGGGGCTAGCAGCTCGCCCGTGCCACTCGTGCGAACAGAAGCAAGTCACGTCAAGCCTGACGATGATACTGGACGTTACTTGCAGAACAGAAGTGCACAGCAGTGCAGTGCAAGTCCATGCGGGGCTAGCAGGGGCGCCGCATAGAGAAGAACAATTAGATGGTACCCTTTGGCCACATATGTCCATGGGGGGCCGGTCCAGTCCGTGAGACGCGCGCAAAACCAAACACACAAGGAGATCGGATACCCGAGGTGCGAGGTCTCTCTGCCTTCTAGATTCACTTCTCTCCTAATACCTGGGGCTTGCGGAGAGTCCGGTGAGACAGAATCAACGATGCCGGCACGATCGCGATCTAGATCGGCTTCGAGATCCAGCAGCAGCTCTTCGAGCTCGAGCTCGAGCAGCAGCAGCAGCAGCAGCAGCAGCAGCAGCTCCAGCAGTAGCTCCAACGCGAGCGCCAAGGGGAAACGTGAGTGCCTCCAACAAGAAGACCACAACTTCTTCATTCATTGCCTGACCGTCTAATCCGCGCGTTCCTGGCGTGCTTGGTGGGGTGCTTGTTTGGTTTTGTGTGCATGGCTCAGAGGGGTTTGTCGGAGAACCGCACGGCGGTGCCTGTGTGCGCTCGCTGAAGGCTACTGGTGGAAAGATACTATACGCGTAGGACCAAAGGGTTAGGGTTGAATGCGCCCCGCGGCAGGAGTTTGGAATTTGGGACGACGACCCCAGTTGTAGCTGGAGACTGCGCGACCAACAAAAAAGCCGCAGTGCCACTGCTGCTCTCTACGTAGTGATCTGCGCGGTGGAGATCAACTCATCCAGGTTACGCCGCTGCTTGACTGACCATGGAGTGGGCGGTGGCTTTTTGGTATGCAACGATCGGTTTGCGGTGGTGCGTTGCCGTCTAGGAGCTCGACCATACCGCTGCGCTTGTCACTTATTGGGAACACCAGCGGAGCAAGTAGATTTAGCATACATTCGACATTCAATGACCATGTTTTTTTTTTCTCGCTTTTTCTCCATGCGGAACCCCTCCCTTCCGGTCGGTGGACACCTTCGATGCTTGGATGGTGATTGGTCAAAGCCTCCGACGGGAACAAGAACGGGCCGCCTAAACCCAAGGTACCGTGGTTATCCAAAAACAAAGGTATACCGTATCTCGAGGTTTTCGAGTAGTTCGACTCTGTTGGAAATGTGGAAGTCAAAGTTTCATTGTCTCCCCTTCCTCAGCAGTGTAGTATCAACGCTTGAGTACACCCCTCGGGGCCATTTTATTTGAGTGTACCTTTTTGGGGAAAGTAAGCCTGCGACCACGGGAATCGACCGCGTCGAGTGTTGGATCAGTACGGACATACGAAGGTACTGGGTAGAGAGAGATCGGAACGGTTTAAATGTGAAGACAACAACAACAACAACAACAACACCCTGCCGGTGCCCCCGCCCCG